CCTTATTTTTTTACTTGGTTTTTGGTCAAAAATCGGCGATTTTCCAAAAATATTTTTTCAAAGGTCCGCCATTTTGTTAATTTTAGAGCGATGTCAATAATCCTAGTTCATACGAGAGCCAGACATGTACTCTTTCTAACACCGTTGAAATTTTCGGATTCCGATGTTCCAGTGAGGAGTTATCATGCCCGCCATCAAAAATAAGGACTTTTCTTTAATTACAAAAAAACAACAACAAAGCAATAACAAACTTTTCTTGTAAATTATTTTTCTTCTCTTTTAAATCTTCAAATATATATGTGCAAAGTTACAAACCTTAACAAGCATTGGTATTGATTTACCAGTCCATTGAAAATCTTGAAATATTAAAATCGAGAATGGGTGGGGTTCCCTTGGGTGGGGTTCGGACAATGGGTATACTAAGGGGATCCCACATTCTCACTTTCAAAAAAAAAATCGATTTTTTATTTTTATTTATTTTTTATTATTTCAAACCTATTAATTTACAAGAATGTCTCCTTAAAACTTTAATTGAAAATCTCAACTACTCTTGAAATCATAGCCGATTTATAGTCTCATCATCAAGTGACGTTATGAGCGATTCTCAAACTTTAAACTCGTTTTTCTCAAAACAGTGTTTTTACGGATGGCGGGAATGGTATCTCAAAAGCTAATTTAAAATTTTAACACGTTATTCTGTGTAATATATATGACAGGATTATCTATCTATTAAGTCCTGATTAACACGTTGAATTTTGTCTAAGCTGGTACCCAGAAATCGGCGTTAGTCTTTTGGATAGGTCGATATTGTTCCGAAGGGATGTACACTATTAAAGTTATAAATATAAATGTCGGCTGAATAAAACGTATATATTTTAAATGAGCTTATTACAACATTTTAATAATACTGATTTTACTCTCAGCCTCTTTTAATTTTTCATTTGCTTCGCCATAAACATTTTGAAACTGAAAATTCACAGGACATCCTTCCAACGACTTTGTGTCGTTCCTTTACACACTCTACTTCAAGGAAAGTAAGACAGAAACCCAACGAGAATATCCGTTTTTTGTGAACACAAACTTGCCTTCATGCTATATTCCGTACAAATAGAATTTCAAGAATTTTCCTTAGCCACTCGATGTTTTTCAACGAACTTAACTACTGGCTGTGTGTATTTTTGTAGAAATACTCTACATGATTGAATAGCTTCGTTTGTAATAATAACATGAAATTCTTATAAATAATTAAGTTTTAGGATAGCATAATTAAGTAGCATTTAATTTGACGATTATCGAAATTAATTAAAGAAAGAATAAGAGGGATATATAGGTATTATGAATTTCAATTGAAGTCGATATAATTCTTGCTTAATATGCAAATATTCATGAAATGCTTTGGGAAGTGGAACATTAGATAAGAACATGATTGAAAGGGTACGTTCGTTTGGAGTGATTGATTTTTTAATACAAATGAATGTAGTTATAAACAAAGTATATGGTTCGCAATTGTTGCTTTAATTACTTTAAAATTATTGAAACTTGCATGTGGTACGCGCAGTAACATTACCTTAGTTATATGCACCTCAAAAAGGATCAAAAAGCTTTTATACAAGTACTTCCAATTTTTATAAGAATACGGATTATTCTAAAGAAACCTATTATATATATCCTTAGGTAAAATTTGAATTTTTTAGTTACGCCTTTTTGCATTTATCAAATAAACCCACTTGTAGTTACGTCTTTTTGTTTTTTGTTAAAAGAAGCTCCTTTTTTGACCGCAGACGTGTCAATTTTCAATTTTTTGTTAGTTACGCCTTTTCGCATTTTAGCTGACGATATATATATATATATATAGAATGTCTATACAAAGAAAAACTAGCATTTCATTACAATATACAATATCAGAATATCGCCAAGAGGAATCAGGTAAACTTTAAAATAAAACCATTGAGAGGAGCACGTGTAGTCGAACTTCCATGGATCTATATTCGACTAGAAAAATACGATTTTGGTCCATTTCGTTCAATAAATATAATTAGACTACCATAGAAAACTGCAGGTGTCGTCTTTGGAACTTAATGAACATGGCGATAATGGTACTACTAAACCATATCAGAATAGGTAGAACCCAGAAAATATTTACGTATAACATACAACAATTCAGAGGTCAACTTATATTGACCCGCTAAATATTGACCGATTATCATGAAAAGCCATACTTGTTTCTGGGTCGTATCAATTTCTCCGTGTACAATTTTGTGGTGTTCTTGTCAGAAAAGGACACAAATAAGATGTTTGGTCCAATCATCTCCTAAATATTAACCGATCAGTACCAAACCGAGCCGAACCGATGGTACATTTTGTGAGGCTTGGTCCATAACGCTGTATTTACAAATTAAAATGCACAGACGGGCGAATAAGCTGTCTATTTCGACTCAGCTAGTCGAGATATGGCGATCGGTATACTAAATGGCATATTCAGTAATATTACACTGAGCAACAAGAATTTGGGGAGAGTGGAATTTCTTATGTGTACGAAAGGCCTTGGTGAATATATTAAGAATTCAGAGTTATGTTTTTGTTTTCAGATAAGCGGGTTACTTTCGAAATGATATGCCTGCAGTCAAATGGAATAAATAGCTGATTATGAAGAACTGTCGGATTTGTCCTATTACCTCACATTAATAACATTTATTTGTGGGAAGGAAATCCTGATGGTTAAATTCTCACACACATACCTGTCTTTGTTATAGAATCGGTAAACACCATTTTAAAACCAGTGAGCGGAGTAGTATAGTCGGTCTGCGCCGACCATATGATAGCCTACCCAACTACCACTGAGCTCTAAGTTTCTGCGACATTTGAACTTTCTTGGCCGATTAGATGTCAACAGCTCCTCTGCGTCGTCTTTTCCGAAACTTGTTTTCCGGGAGTAAAAAAATTCCGAGCCCTCATAATATTTAAATTTTGTTATTTTATAGAATCGGTAAACACCATTTTAAAACCAGTGAGCGGAGTAGTATAGTCGGTCTGCGCCGACCATATGATAGCCTACCCAACTACCACTGAGCTCTAAGTTTCTGCGACATTTGAACTCTCTTGGCCGATTAGATGACAACACCTCCTCTGCGCCGTCTTCTCCGAAACTTGTATTCCGGGAGCAAAAAATTCCGAGCCCTCATAATATTAAAATTTTGTTATTTTATACAAAATTTTTGTGGTGTTCGGCTTATAATTATGGGGTCTAGTGCGACTAGAAAGCAGACAAAAATACATATAATTCCCGAAATATCATCTGATAGTCATCGAAAGTTATAGGCGTTATCCTTGTCCATAACTGGAACCGCATGTACAATTTTCCTGCCGTCGTCTCTAAATATATGCATTCTAATGTGGTGATGGTAAAACTAAACAATATCGGAATACATAGCCACCTGTAAATTTTTACGCATAACTCCCACATCCAGCGACATACCCCAATATATTTGGTATCAATTTAAAGACCAAACACTTCTCTTTGATATAATGTCGACTTCTCGGGTCAATGTCTTTCAGGAGTAAATGTATACACACCAGAATTTTGCACACAAAAATGGTGTCCATTTGACCCGATAATACAGTTATGCTTATTCTATGGTCAGACCCCTTTCTCTGCGTAAAATTTGGTGATGTTCGGGTCATAATTGTGACCAGAAAAACAGACAAAAATAAAGTCCATTTCATCTCCTAAATATTTACGTATCATTACCAAAAACAATATGGATCTTATTTGGTCCATAACTGTGGCCTGTATCGTGTTTACAAATTATAAAGGGCAAACGGACGGACACACATGTCAAGATCGACTCAGCTATTCGTATGAAACAATTTTTTTACAATACCTCAAGTAGTTTAAAAGTTGTCGCACAAAAACCATAGTCTAAAATTGTTAATTTTCGGAATTTCAATCTACAGCATCAATAGATGGCGTTGCCGGTCGCAAAATAGTAAAGCAATATATATAACATTGTCCATATATGGTGTAAAAAAAACTTTCATGTTTAAAGTCTTCTTATAAAATACCAGAATATCTATTTTTATAATTTCTAACATTACAAAAATACAGCTACCCACATTATTAATAAGAATTAACTCCAACTATGACTTATGAGGTTCCATGTAAAAGTGTTCGTCCACAACATGTTGAAGCAAACAAATAATTTTCCTTTATTGTTAATGTGAAATTTTAGACGATAACCACCACTGGTCATTAGTTTTATGGGTCGCAGGTTTTGGACACCAGAAAAAAAGGAAACAATAACAAAAAACATACTTGTGGTATGATGATGACCACAATATTTATACACGTTGATTGCTCGAATGTGGGGCTGTTAACGACGGCGACGACAACATACACACCATGTTCTACATATTGACCATGTCATGTCAAAAAAGCAACGACGACGAAAGAAATCACAAATAAATAATATGCACCTTTATATTAGTGGCTATATAAATAAAAATCCTTTGTCCTTTTCCCACTTGGAGAGATATCGGACACATTTGTGGGTGAAATATTTTTTGGGGAGTTTGTGTTTTTTTCTGGGTTTTAGTTGTTGTTAAAAAGGTTCCATGAACTTAACTTTTTGATTTAGTTGTTAGCCGGCTTTGTGGGATAATACACGTGTCCTTCTGTTCAAAAATATATTTTCACTCTTTGACAGTTGTAATCAGTCAGTCAGTCTGTGCGCTAAGCAAGAAGTCATTCAGTCAGCCAGTTATCATTAGTGTTGTTGGAAAATAACATTTTTTGTTGTGCGCTTGTGTGTTCGTTATATTTAGTTGAAGTTGTAATTATTTGTTGGAAAATTTGAAATAATGTATATAATATTTTAGTGAAATTTACATTAGAGTTGATTGATTGTTTTTAGTATTGATTTGGTTGTAAATTTGTAGTTTTTTGAATAATGATTTTTTTATTAACTTTATTTTAAGTATCTAAATTTTTTTTTTAATTACAGTACTACCAATGAATGGTCAGCTGCCAAATGATAGTGCCCGTAAACGGCGAGGAAGCGATGGTAAGTTTGGGTGAAAAAATGTGAAAATGATTTGACTTCAATAACAGAGCCAAGGAAGGATTTTGTATGTTAACACCCAATAAATAGATATAAATGAAATACTAAAATGTCTTACTTTAGACTATCAAAATTTGTTCATAAGGCAAATAAGAATGTTATCTATTTGAATTTCTTCGTGTCATCTAAAAATACCAAGAAAATTTCTGTATTTCTGATGCTCCAATTTCCAATAGAAGACCAGGAATTCCAAAAAAAAGGTATTTTTATACGAGATCTGAATATATTTTTATAGAAGACCGGTAACATTTATAAAGACCTTGTGGACTTTCATAAGAAAACATTGTTATATTTAAAATGAAAAGTTGAAATTCTCAGCTTTTATATGACACAGATATGATTACAATTCCTCAAGTAGTTCAAAAGTTATGGCACAAAAATCATAGTCCTCTTGGTATTTATAGATTATCCGAAGGGATTCCAACAGAAGCTTAGTGGGTATTTTTATAGAAGATCATAATATCTTTTTATAAAAGACCAGAGGGTGTTTTTATAATAGAAAAACTTTTCTTTTCTAACAGAAATCTAGAAGGTACTCCAATAGCTTGCCAGACGTCCTTCTTTTAAGAAATCCATGTGGTTTTCCGTTATAAAACCACATGGATTTCTAAAAAAGGACGTCTAGCTTACTATAGGCCTAGTACCTACTATAGGCCTTTTTATGGAATACACACAAATCTTAAGTTAGAATGTCCAGAAGGTATTTTTATAGATTAAAGCCTGAAAGCCTAGAGGGTTTACTTATAGAAGACCAGTCTTTTTAGAAATCCATTGTGGTTTTATAACGGAAAACCATACGAATTTTTTATACATATCCAGAAGTACCTACTATAGTTTTTTTTATGGAATACGATCAAATCTTATGTTAGAATGCCCATAAGTTATTGGAAGACTGAAGATTGAATGACTAGAGTGACTTTCTAAAGAAGACCAGTAGGTGTAGGCCGTCTTATGAAAGAGTAAAAGGTCGACTTATAGATGACCAGAAGGTATTTCTTTCTAGAAGGCATCCTGTTGAAGATCAGAAGTGAATGATTGGAAGCTTTTCTACAGAGGACAGAAGACCTACGTGTAGTATACCATAACGTTTTTTTATAGAAAACCATAAGGTGTTTTTGGATGAATGACCAGTAGATATAGGAGATTAGAAGGACTTCTTCTAATAGACTAGATTTACTTCTTTTTTAGACCAACAAGTCTTCTACTAGAAGTGGCAAAATTCTTAGGAAAAAACTTTTTAAAAATCCCTGCATTATCAGAGGATTGAGGACAAAGCAAAAGTTTGACAGATAAATATTTTAAAAATTTCCAAATTACCAGAGGCTCAAAAAATAATCCTTAAAAATTGACGCATTGACAACATTTTTAAGAAATAAAAAACCAATATTCCAAATTCCTAAAAGATAATTCCTCAAATAATCCCCTACATAACCATTGGCTTGGAAAATATGTCTTCAAAAAATCTCGTCCTGAACCCGAGGCATAAAGAAGGATTTTTAAAAACACTTGGATCGCCACAGGTTGTTAAAATGTATTTAATAAAGCAGCTATAGCAGAGGATAATCTACAAAAAATCTTCGCATTATATTTATTGAAAAATTCCGAAACGACTTTCAGACGATGTCTGAAAAAAATCTGTTTGTTGGCAGAATTTATAAAAAACCTATCTTTAAAGCTCCCCAGCCTAAACAGAGGTTTTCAAAATACTATATTAAAAATCCACATTTGGCAGACTTCAAGAGATTAAAAACAATTCTCCTTGCTATAGGCTGGACAAATATGCTTCCAAAAATAAGTTATCCATCAGAAATTTGGCTAACTATTCTTCATCGGGCTTTTAAACAAATAACTTCGAAGATAGACAATAATGATAGTCCCCAAAGGAAATCTCGGATTGCCAGAGGTTTAAAAATATATTTCAAAACGTTCCGGTATTTTCAGAGCCTTTAAAAAGATGTTTGAAAAAAATTTCCTCATTCCCTTGTCGTAACAAAGTTTTGACAAAATATTTCTTTAAATAACCCCCTTTACAAAAACGAAATCAAAAAATAAATCAAAAGAATCCTCCCCTAAATAACCAGAGGCTTCAAAAAAAAAAAAACCCGAGTCATGAATTAGAATTATTCAAACCACCTAGATTGTCCCAGGTTTTTTTTTTAATAAATAGTCCCTGCATTAACAGAGACTTGAATAAAGACTTTGAAAAATTCCGGTATTACTTTCCAAAGATTTCTTTAAATATAAGAATTTTTAAAAATAAATTCTTTCAAACTTCCCTGCTTTAACAGAGGTTTTCAAAATACTACATTAAAAATTCCCATTGACCAGGCTTCAAGAAATTAAATCAGTATCTTTCAAAAAAGAAGGTATCCATCAGAAACTTGGCTAACTATTCTTTAACGGGGTTTTAAACAAATAAGCTCGAGATAGACTAAAAAGAGAATTCGTCAAAGAAACCCTCGGATTACCAGAGGCTTGAAAATATTATATATTTAAAAAATTCCGGTATTTCCAGAGCCTCTAAACATATTTCTGAAAAAATGTCTCCATCCCCTTGCCGTAACAAATTAAACAGAATCTAATTCTTCAAAACTTCCCTCCTTTGACAGAGGTTTTCAAAATACTATATTAAACATCCCCACTGAAAGAAATTAAAAAAATATGCTTGCCTATCCAATATCCTTCAAAATATTCGTTAAGAGATTTTTAAACAAAAAAGCTCTAAGTTATGCTAATAATTCGTCAAAGAAAACCTCGGGTTGAAAATATATTTAAAAACACATTTTTACGCCTGACGTAAAAATATAATATTTAATAAATCCTCTTCTTACTAAGGTTTGGAAAAACAATTTTATTAGAGCTTAGAAATAATTAGTCTTTTAAAAATGCAAGCCTTTGTAGAGACTCGAAAACCTATCCAAAGTATTTAAAAAAATTTTACTTAAATTGAATAAATAGTTATGAAGTCTCTGATAATTTATCCAGGTTTAGAAAAATATTCTTTGATTCATCTTTCTTTACGAAATCCACGCCCTACGAGGGATTTGAAAAAAGACCGTATTTAAGAAAATGTAAAATATTCTTTGAAAACCCTACTAGAGAGGCTATAATATACTTTGAAATATGCATAGAAATAAATATATAAGATGGAAAAATGTCTCTCTAATATGTCAAGATGACCATCTTATATTGATGGTAAATGTTCAAATATCCAAGACCAAAGGTCTTAAAATATATTGGATATTCACCTAATCATATTCTATATATTCTAAAATAAAACATAGTACGATTTTCAGAGTTTTTATATATTCAATTAGTTGTAGCATATATATTCGCATTATAGATGAAGCGTAAAGATTAAATGAATTAATATACACTAATTTTCTTCTACATATATGTATCCCCTTTGGTCACCTTTATTTGGTTAACATTTCCTTAATAACATACCTTTTTTTGGTAATGGTACTTAATGATTGTTAGATAGTTGTCCTTACTAGTTATTTATTTATACACGTAGTTAAATACCAACTTAAGAAAGCGTAAAGGTCATTCGCTCTTTCCTTTATATATTACACACAAAGAAAACCATGCTATTATATACAAATTAATTCGTTTAATGGAAATTCCCAAAAATAGTTGTGGAAATAATTTCAATTGTTCTAGGCCAATGAATTTACACGAAACACTTTTTTTAAATAATTGAAAAAAAAGAAAAACAAAAACAACAAATAACAAATAACAGACATTGTAGCTTGTCATGTGTATCGGTTCTCATGGGAAATATTAAAACAATTATCGAAATTAATTTAAACAAATTGTCAATTTATACTCAAATATAACCAAAAACAAACAAATTGGAATCAATCGTCTATGATATTCGTTAAATAAAAGTTATAAGACTGTTGACTTTTATTTAATATTTTCAAATGTCGTTACAGGACAATATTGGTTAAAGAAAATATTGATAAAGAAGAAAAATAGTTTATTTATTAATTATATCGATGAAAACATTTAAACGTGCATCCATACGTATACATAACATACATAAGTCAAATATAAAACATACGTCTTTTTAGTTTATATGTTTAAGAATATATATTTTTAGATAGACTTGCCGATATATTTATACGTGAACTTAGTAACATAGAAATTATTAGATGGTAGGACTATGTAAAAACCTGAAAAAAATGTTTACCAAGAGTTTTTATACCCTTCACCACTCTGTGGTACAGGATATTATGTCTTTGTGCATATGTTTGTAACAGGCAAAAGGAAACGAGATAGACATATGGTTCCTTTTGAGAATATGCATAGCATCACTTTCTGAGTCGATTTATGCATGTCCGTCCGTCCGTCCGTCTGTCTGTCGATGTAAAATTGTAAACAAAGTACAGGTCGCATTTATAATCCGAATTGGATGAAATTTAGCATAGGTCCCTTATTTGGCCCAAGGACGAACCCTATTGAAATTGGGAAAAATCGGTTCAGATTTAGATATAGCTCCCATATATATATTTAACCGATTTAATGTAAACGGTCCCTATATATCTTTCGATTTGCACGAAATTTGGTACAGCCTAATCATTTAGGTCTAGAATGATGTCTGCCAAGTTTCGTAAAAATCGGTTCAGATTTAGATATAGCTCCCATATATATATTTAACCGATTTAATGTAAACGGACTCTATATATCTTTCGATTTGCACGAAATTTGGTACAGCCTAATCGTTTAGGTCTAGAATGATGTCTGCCAAGTTTCGTAAAAATCGATCCAGATTTAGATATAGCTCCCATATATAGTTTCGTCCGATTTCATGTAAATGGTGCCCCAAAGTCCCTATATATCTTTTGATTTGCACGAAATTTGGCATAACGTACTGAATTCAGCCTAGAGTGATGTCTGCCAAGTTTCGAGAAAATCGGTCCAGATTTAGATATAGCTCT